GAGGACGGATGAGGAAATGAGCTGAGGAAAGTGGCCGAGATCATATGTAGACGGTGAGGACGGATGAGGAAATGAGCTGAGGAAAGTGGCCGAGATCATATGTAGACGGTGAGGACGGATGAGGAATAGGGAAAGGTTGATGGAGAGGGGCGATATGGAAAAGAGAGAGGGGCAGATATCGTTTTTCGGTCTGATATACAGCCAAAAGGCTGTATATCAGAATCGAATATTATTTTGTGATATACAGTTACGGTACTCAAAGCAAGTATGTACGCTTACATACTTGCTTGTACATAGTTTTTTGCAACTATGTACGACCTACGACAAGTATTTTTTTTCTTTCAACTTGACCAACCCCGTTCACACTCCTGATCCCCGTACATCATACATGCATACATATCAATATGCCCAACCAATCTCCATCACCGCCGAATATCAACCCAACTGACTCTCCAACCGATCCCCCATCAACTCCATTCAATAACCTGATCACGAGCAATGTGGGGTGGACTGTACCTCCTTCGCTAATCAGTCCGGCCGCAGGCCAAATCCCTCTTATATCGCCGTATTCTGGACACCATCCATTTGTTTCCTCAGGATCTCCCCTACTCATTTCGTATCCTAGTGCTCAGTCGATTCCAATCGCATCAGCTCCTGCAGTAATGCAGCCTTCGGTCACATCAACACCTCCTCCAACAGTACAAGATGAGCCAAATCCTAAGCCTCGTGGTCGTGGTCGTGGTCGTGGTCGTGGTCGTGGTCAGACTTCAACAAGAAAAACCCCTTCAGCTTCTTCGAGAAAAAAAACTCCAGCGCCCCCGGCTACAGCCACTGAGACTTCTTCAACTGAAGAGCAGTCTGCTCGAAAACAGATTTCATGGCAGAAAGATGTTAATTCAGATGGGAAGACGATGTTAGATTTGATAGTGGAATGGTTATGTCTCACTTGGGGTGATCAAACCTCTTCGAGTGATGCGGAGTGGATGTGTATGGATCAAACTGATACGATCTCGACTAATTATGAAAGATTTCGAATGGGCCTTCCGAACAAGAAGGAATGTGCCAGAAGGTGTACCCTCTTCATAGGTGCAAATGGATTCAAGGCGCCTACATGGGAAGGTGTCAAACAGAAGGTAAGAAACACATATTAGTTTGCTTTCTTTGGTATCATCTTTCACTGATTTTTTTTTTGAAATATCATGTTAAAACACTAGATCGATATTCTTGAATCCAAATTCCACGACGCGGAAAAATGGCGTAGGGCAACAGGCGAAGGAGGCGGTCAAATGATTGAACACGGGGTTACGAGCGAAATCGAGGCACTAGAGGCAAAAGGTGAGTGGACTGCAGATCGAGAGGAACAACTTAAGGTTCTGGCGGCTCAGACTACAAAAGGTAAGGGTCCTCACTACATACTTGGCAAGAACTTGGACCGATGTCTGACTGTACTCTGTTCACACAGAGTGTTTGATTAGTAGATGCTCCTACTACGATGCCCTCTTCCCGATCATGCGTCATCGTGCTGGCAATGAGCCTTTGGCGACTGCTGAAACAGGTGTCAATTCTCAGCCAACGACCTCGGAGCACATGTCTCGTCCGCTTTCGCCTATGGAGCCCACTGACTCTCAATACAGTGGCTGGGATCCGACTCAGTTGCTCAATGCTAACAACAACTTTCAAAACGATGCCCAGGAAGACATTAGCGTGCATGACCGCAGAGAAGCAACTCCACCCCCATCCCAAACTCCGGCTTCTCGATCTCTTGAACGAACAGGAAGCTCTCAAACTCTTTCATCTTCCAAAACACAACCACGTGTCAATATCAGCTTATCGAAGAATAAAAGTGTCAGTGACAACCCTTGAAGACCTTCGACTGGAACTTTAGGTGTCCTCAAATCGATTCAGTCCTCATTACCTACTCAAGCAGATTACGAAGAATTAAAACAAGAGAGCAAGGCTGCAAATGAGAGTAACCGACTAATGCTGGAACAAGCATCATCAGCTTCAAATAATTTAATGAACATCATAGGTGCCCGATTTGGAAATCAAAACGAGAAACATAACTTGGAAATCGATGATTTAACACCAGAAGAGATTGAAAGGAAGAAAACTAAGAAGGCTAAATCTGAAGAACTCGAATTGCTCAAGTTAGAAAGAGAATTAGCTCAGGAACGCAAAGCTTTGACTGAAACGAGTCAGGCATCAGGATTATCTAAACTTGAGTTGGCTAGAGAGAAGGCTGATATGATTACAAAGTTTTGTTCGGTTGGTATATCCCTTGAAGAGGCTCGTACTATGGCTCAGGAAATCATTGATGGAATGAATTGATTTCAAACGTTCATGTGCTTCATTAATAAAGTTTTTCTCAAATTGCTAAAATCGAAAAATTCAAAAAGTAAAGATTTTGTTATATCTCCCAATTTGCTAAAATAAAATACAAAAAAATTAAAGAGTCCTGACTAGTTATCCAAAAATTTATGATTATTTGGTTATCTTCAAATTGGTTATAAGTGTTTATGTTGTTCCCTTTTGTTAGATGATGATCAGAAAGTTTTCATTCAAAAATGATTGTTTTGTAGTGATGTTTTCTCAATATTAAAAAGATGCTGAAAAATGTTTTTGTTTACCAAAACATTTATTTCATGAAAAGCAGTTATTCCTTTTTGCGTGCTCAAACAAACGATCCAAAGTGATCATTTATTTGGATTTAATGTTTGCATCCATTTCATCACAGAGACGATGAATCGATTAAATACTTTGATTAACATATTGAAAATCTCATAGGTAAGTCAATCGCTGTGTTTGAATAAACACAGTGATTGACTCGAATTTCTCACAAACTCAAAGAACTTCTTTTCCTTCTGAGTTATTAATTCAGGAGCGAAACAAACATTCATTTCATTGGACCTGTGAGTGACTCGGTTGCATACAACTGTATTCAAAGATAATTTTAAAAAGGTGTGAAGGAGCTAATTGTTTCGATTGGTTCGATAAGTTCTAAACTGATTTAGGAGTTCATTTCATCTTTGATAGGATGTGCCTCGATCCTCCGGAACTTGATCTTCACCGAAAGCTGCTTCAGGATGATCAGATGGATATGAATCTGGAATCCATTGGTCCCTGAAAGTAATTGCAAAGTTGTGCAGTATGCAGCAAACTTTAAGCCATTCCACTGCGAGCTCAGCCGATTGGCTGTCCTTAATCAAGATTCGTAAACTCTGGAGTGATTGAAATCGAAGTTTTAGTTGGCCATTGCTGTGTTCACTGACAACTCGTTGTTCACTCAGTTCCTGATTAAACTCCCTTCTCACAATATCTAACAACTGCAATCGTGGAGATTTGAAAGTCGGGATGACGTGCTGGGAGCATGTGTAGCCCGAGTCGGCCAAGATGTACTCGTTTTCGCCAAAGGAATGCTGTGGATGTTGTGCAAGCTACTCCCAAAAATTAATGCCAATTAAATTAAATGAACAGGAAAGACTTACTTGAGATGAGGCGTAGATTCGTTGATCATGTACACTACCACACCACCCATGTAAATAGTATATGATTTTCCCCCTGTGATCAGAGACTAGCATCGTGTTGAGAGCATAATTATGCTTACGAGTCCAGAAATCTTCTGGATCTTTGGTAGGTGCAAAGGCGAGTGGTATGAGAGTGCCATCAATAAATCCCACACAGTCTTTGAAAAATGATTTGCTTCCAATATGAGCTTTGATTCGGTTTCTTTCGTCTTGATTGGGCCAATAAACAAACTCTTTTTCCATCTTCAAAATCGCCTCAAAACAACGTTTGGTGAAATTATGAACGGATCCCTCTAAAAAAAAGAACATAAGTTTCAAATTTCCAGGGCGCACGGGAAGATAGTGTTACCTACCACTGATTGCAAATAACTGCCCTATCATATATGCACTACTACCATTACCACTTGAACCGAGTCGGCATAAAGTGACAAGTAGCTGCCACTCGACTGGCATTTGAGGTGCAGAGGAGCCGTTATGAAATACCAAATCATGTCGGATGTGATTCACTAATATGTCAAAATTTGATCTTGAAATCCGTGCCTGGAGGTTTGAGTTGTAAGTTTTCAGAAACCAACATGAATACGAGTCATATGATTTGAACTTACATATCGGAGAAAATTTCGATCACCCCCATCAAACACCTTTTCAAACCTGAGTTGTTGGATGGTCGTAAGTCTGATGTGGATTCTTGGATCGATGTATCGGAGGCGGCTAATGTCTTCTAGAGCATTGCTGATTGCCAAAGCTACGTTGAAAACATGTTGGTGAATGGCGAGCTGAGAGTTGATGAAAACCTCGAGGTCGCTGGTAGTTTTGACGAAATTGTTGAAGGCACGAACAAGAGAGATGGCACCCAGGATGAAGGTGTCTTCAAAGTCCAGCAGCATCAGAGCAGTGGTGTTTATTAAATCGAAGTGAAGACAAGCATATGAACCAACGTAAGAGGGGGGTTGAGCAGTTGAAAAGATACCTGATAAGGCATAGGTACTTGCCCGAGCGAGCTCAAGGGTGAGGACTTGCCGATGGCCGAGGCGAGGCATGAGGTAGAAAGTATGTAGGGGTCCTCAAAGCTAGATACTTTGGGACACAAATATATTTTTTTTTCCCCGCCAAAAAAAAACAAAAAAAGTATGTACACAAACTATGTAAGCGTAAGTATGTAGCTTTGAGTACCGTAAGTGTATTGTTTTGGAGAAAAGGATCTCCCGAACAACCCTCTATTTTGGGAATTTCAATATACGTATATCCTAATATACAGTATACTAGCTAAGTTGGGCGGCGGGCGCCGCACTCCTCTCTTGTAATGTTATTATAGCATTGTTTGCGGGCCAACTTCACATCTTTCCAATTTTTACGGCAATTTGACACAGAGCTAATGAGGTTTATTACAAGCTCTATGCATTGTGAACAATTTACAACATGTTCAACCACAAACTATTCACCTCCATCTATTACTACGCAGTTTCAAACTCTCAACAAACAAAAGATATACGTTAATAACTCAAGAAGAGGAACTCATTCGAAAGTTTGCAATTTTTTTTTTTTAGAAAGTTGTGATTTCATTTTTCAAATGTTTTTGTCCGAGTAAACCCTTGAATACAGACCAAGTATCAAATAAGTGAATTCCCTACCCTTTTGTTGCGGAATTCATATTGAGATGTGACTTACAGAGATTTTCAAATTCCACTAATGTTCTCGAATTTTTCAAAGACTCTTACTCCTTGATGCTACTACAGATTTCCCAATAACTTCCAAACTTTTGTTACCTTGATCCTCCGGTTTCATGATTTTTTGCTATCACAGCCACAGTCAATAACTTCATGTTAACAACTCTCGACAAAGTGTTAAAGTTAGATATAGGTACTCACTAATATATCTGAATAACGAAGTCGTGCCTCAAAATTACATTTGATTTGATGAGGCTTCAGAAGCCCTATTAAAGTCTCGTCCTCCAATAAATCGTTGTCTTCGGTTAAGAAAATAAATTGTCTTAATTTTTTTGGAAATTGCAGCTCACAATCTTTTCTAAGCGTCCTGAGCCAATAATCAGCTGTTTCACAGTAATAAGTAATATAAACTTCAACTTCTCGAAAAATCTCCCATGTCAGCCATAGCGGCTCTTCATGTCGTGGGTTGACAAACATGTTTTTCAAAATTCGGAGCTTCGGAAATAAATGATTCCGTAGGTCGTATGGGATGTCATCTGGCATCATAACAACAAAAATTGCTTCTAGTGTCTCTTTCACTGCTAAAATCATATGTGTTTCGTCGTTTAAGTAGTCCGTTGGTATATACTCGAGTAGTTTAATTGAGGTTCCGTGACGTTGACAAAAGTGAACTACCGCATTGTGATTTTGTGTGTGACAATCTACCCACAAATGGATTAGTTTAGGTAACGCTCCTAAGTCTAGAACTAAAGAGGTCAATGTTGCGAATTTTAAAGAAAGAGATTCTAAAGATGTAGTCGTGTTCAAGATTGATATGAGAGACTTTGAATTATTCTTATGGTTCTCAGTGCTTGAACCTTGTACTATCAATACTTTCAAAGCCTTCACTTTACTGATCGCACATATGAAATCCCTCGAGAATCCGACAGTGTTGGTGAAATGAATTTTCAAATCCGTTAAGCTGGATCCGCACAAATTGATAATATTTGCTGCGTCTTGCATGCTGATTGATTCCGTTGAGGAGTGTTGATGTTCGAAGTCTACTTGTAAGCAATCCTGGTCGGTGACTTCTCTGCCAAATGAACCAGCCCAATCCTCGGGTAGACACAAAACTCCGTTTAACGAAAGTCGTCGTAAGTACATTGTATGAGAGTGTTTCAAGGTACTTGCTAATAATAGCTTAACATATTTGTTCCCAATAGCAGACATCAAGTCCAACACGTTAAAGACAAATTGTGGGATAGTTGTGGCCCACGATCTCCCTATCAATCGCAATTGGAGTAAATCTGTAACGGATTTCGGATTGAGAAACTGACTATCTGCGCTATTATAATCGTCAATTGGTAGGAATTCCCCTATTTTGCAACAATATTTCATAATGTGCTCCACCAGTTCAACTGGTAGGTACGCAGGTTGTGCCATAATATCGGTTTAAATGGATTCAGCAATTTCGAGGATATTGCTTCTTTGAAGTTAACGACGAGGAATAGTATTCAAGATGGGTTGATACCGAACGAATGTGATGTCACTGCTACTATTTATCTGCTCCCATGACCTGCCCTTCTTTGAGGGTAATTTTTCATCGCACTTCCCGATTGCCGCCGCATATGCCAATTCATGCTGATTATTTTCTGTGTGATTAACCAGCTGCTACGCAAATTCAATTTTCCTTCCGAACTCCAAGCTCCACTTGCTAACTTTTAAAACTGCTTTTCTTTCACTACTGGCATTTTCACCTCAAAACCAATATCACCGTACTTGACAGCTTAATGTCAGGTTCAATCGCAAAATAGGGAGAAGACAACACTATTTGCCGTAATAGGCATCTTAGCCTCCCAATCATTCAACATTTTGATCTTCCCAACTTTACCCACAACTTACAATATCAGCTGTCTCTGCGCCTGAGCTGAATACTCAATCAGTATGCATACGTAGAATCTAGGCTACTGAATATAACTAAATAGATAGCGGGCTTGGCACTTTTCGCTCTCAGTTTTCTCAATTCACGCATTGTACTAAAATTACTTCCAGGCCAAATCACAACAAACAACTTCTCTACTATAAATAAAGCACCAGCAGATGAACAAATATTTGGAACTTCATTTGCAACGCATAATGATTTTGCAGTCTCATCAGTTGTTAAATCTTTAGATCTAATGTTTTTGCCTTGAAATACTAAAGAATATCAAAACACGCAAATGCCCCTGCCCAGGTCACGGCGATTCTAAATAGTGGGGTGATAAACTAAGCTAACTATATTGTTCAATTTAAAACTTTTATATAGCTACTCGTACCATCCTTTACTTCCATATCTCAGGAGCTACAGTTCGAGCACACTTTTTATTGTGAATGACATGTTAATTAGTTACTTGCTCTCCTTCTTTCATGAACCAAACTCTCATAAGAGCATCACTTACATTAATCTCAGATCCCTATTTATACGTTATAACTTAACAAATGCCATCGCTATGCACTTCTTCGTTTGAGTCGCGCTCGAGTCCATTGGCTAATCTCTGACCGTAGGAAATTGACAAACCGCATATCAGTATTGCTTAATACTGTAGCTCACAAAGTTTAAAATTACTCACGAGTAAGTCATGATGATTTAATCTAGTTGCGAAATGACACTCAATACCCTGCTTTCCAAATTCACGTATTAACTCCTCTTTCTTAATTGCTATTCCTTTTTCAATGATGAAAACGAAATGCATCAAATTGGCCGGCATAGGAAGTTTTGCGATTTCCTTCATTTCGTTTCGCCAGTGAGTATTGTCCTTTCTATAAGGTGTAATGAAAACTTCGACATTTTGAAATATAGTCCATTCAGCCCATTTGGGATAGTCGAGTAGATGATTGACATATTCGCTTCTCAGAACACGCAGCTTCGGAAATTCGGTCATTCGGAGATTACTGGGAATGTAACTTGGCAACATGGCCATAAATAATACTTCTAGTGTAAGTTTAAGTGCTAGCATTAAACGTTCTGAGGATGCTTCATCGCTGGTTGGCGTATACTCTAGTATTTTGATGGATCTGCCTTGTTTTTCACAAAAGTCATTAATTGCATCGGTGTTCATTAAATGACTACCAACCCACAGATGTTTCAATTTTGCTAGAGCTCCGACTTTCAAATCTAACGAATCCAAAGTTGCAAAATCGAGCGATAGGGACTCGAGTTCATCAGTAGCATTTAGCACCTCAATTAGCGAGTCCGAGTTATTATTAATGTTATGAAACTTGTCACCATCAATTGACAAAGATTTCAAGTTCTTGATTTGGCTTATCGCAACGATCAGCTTCTTCGAAAACCCGACCGAGTGAGTGAAATTTATCTTAAGATCAGTCAAAGTAGAGCTGCAAAAACTGATCAAACTGGCTGCATCTCGCATATTGGTAGACTTCGTCGCGTAGTGTTGATATTCGAGTTCTAACTTTTTGAGCTTTGGATCCATGATTCGATCGTAAAAAGTTCCTGGGCCAATTACACCTCGATACATAACTTGATCTAAAGTAAGTTGGCATAAACACGACATGTTCGTGGCGGCTACGTCGATGCTTGACATTCGGGCTAAGTAGGTACGAGTGAATGGAAAGGCTAAACGTAAAGATTTATATACTAAATGTTGAATTGCCGCTGCCCAGGTCCGTCCCAGTAATCGCAATTTGAGTAAGTTGACAACACATTTTTGTTTTAAAAATCTTACTTCAGCACTGTTGTATACATCAATTGCCAAGTATGAAGTATCATCACACATATACGATATGATCAGTTCGATGAATTCTATCGGAAGCGCTGGCGATGCACACATATTTAGTAATCTGAGCTACGAATTCATTCAATAATTCCTTCAATCCTTCAATTAGGTAGGAATAACCTTTACAAAAACTTCTCCCCCATTGCTACATTATTTAGATATACAACTTATAACTTTGCAAGCACTACATCCATAGATTAATTCGGGTAATTCAACCTTCTCGTATTCACTCGACTCATTAGGTACTAATTTTTACTTCAACTTTCTAATACACGACGTTCAGCAAAACTCGAGCCGCCAAATTAATTTCATTATCATGAGCCAGGTTATTAGCGTCTACTATGGTTTCCCTACTTGCTGCGCAATAGTATAACTAAGTTGAGTAGATAACTGTACCAGAGCTACCCGAAAGCTAGCGAATAGTTTTGCAACACAAGGAACAACTGTAACTTCTTTACTTGTCGCTTGGTATATACGAGAAATTGCCAATCGGGATTCTTTGAAAACACAATCTGCTCATTAATCTCCAACAGTGCAATACTTTCAGTGGTAATATCAGAGCCATTGCGCTGATTAAATCTACATATACATAAGAATAATCAAGACTTCCAAATTCTGCAACTTATGTTTGTACACGAGATTACTGTACAGCATGCGCCCAAAAAAGCCCTTAATCAAATGCGCCGCTGGGAGCTTAATGTGTTCTTTAGTGAACTTTCTATTTCACTAACAGCTTTTATTTTACAATTTGATTCTCTAATCGCAGGCCCTTTACGCTGCCTAAATCTACGGCTACTTCGAAAGGAATCCTGATTTTAAATTCTGCGTATTCATGCTTGTTCATGAGAAATACGATCAAGGTTGAGCTGAATAAGCCCCGTAAAAAAATGCTACTCCTAAGCTTACTGCGTTGTTTAATTAACTCTATCTTTCATTAACACCTTCGATTAGACATTTTGACATACACACAATTTGATTCGCAAAATTAGTTAACAAAAACAATTGCATAGTGAAATTCAATGATTTGATACATACTACATTTCTTCTTAATGTTGATTTAACAGACAGCCTAAAAATGGCTCATGAGTAAAATTTGAGAAGTGAAATTTTCAGTACTTAGTCTTTGAATTCAAGAATGGAGGCGTATTTGAAGTTGACGGGAACTAAATACATTAGTTCAAACTTTACGAAATACAAAAGATTTATTGAGAAAAGTTATACAAAATCAAACAATTGAGATTATATGATACAAAAACTTCAGCATTATTTGTACTTTTTAATATTTGAGTATTTATATATATTGTATTTTATCTGAATAAGCACTCTTCGTACACGTAATCAAATGTTGAAGAGTAATGAGTCTAATCTATACTATTTAAGCATTTTATTTTGGGAAGTACTCTTACAATGTTAATGTTGTATTTTTCTCTCAAAGCCAAATTTTGAAGTTGAGCAGTGGATTGATTCCTAACAATAATTTTAACCAGATACACCTCTTTAGCTTTTACTTTCAAAATCTATGATTTAGTTTCAATTACTCACACAAGTCAATTGGCTACGAGCATCTACATCTTTTGCGTGCTTTTCATTTTGCAAAAGTTCCTGTGGGAGGGAGATTTGCGTCTTAGTTTAAGCTGTACTTCATATGACTCTCGACGAAATTAGTAATACTCACCAATATTTCAGTATCGTTGATTCCAGATTTAAAATGGCAGATAAAACCGTAAGTATTGAAAAATTGTGCTAACTCGGGGTCTTCGATTGGATCGTCATCTCCCATTATAAAGATGAATGTTTTTAATTTGTTGGCTTCTTTCAAGTGAGGTCCACCAGCTGGCAGTAAGGCTATTTCCCAAAAAGTTCTACTCTCGCAGTAATTCGTAATGATAACCTCAACAGTATGAAAAAGCGACCACTCAAACCATATTGGACGGTCGGATGAAGGATTGATGTATTTGCAGCGTATAATACGGAGTTTCGGGAATTCTTGGATTCTGATTGAACGCGGAAGATCATCTGGAATTGAATCTACAGTTAGCGCTTCGAGTGAGTTTCGGACAGCTAAGAGCAGCATTTTCGATTCTTGAGGCCTGCGAGTAGTAGTGTATTCAAGAAGCTTGATGTGTTTGGGACCTTTTCGGCAGAAATCGACGATTGCGTTCAAGTTGTATCGATGACATGCAATCCAAAAATGAGATAAGTTCTCTAAACATCCGACTTTCAATTTTAACCTTGGTAGAGCTGCTAATCTCAAGGATAATGATTCTAAAGATTCAGCGTTTTGTAAAACTGCAGACAAAGATCTCGAATCATTGATAATATCTCTAGCCATCGTTCCTTCAATTAATAGTTTCTTGAGGTTTTTTATACGCTTCATCGCAACTACCATACTATCAGAGAAACCAACCGAACGTTGAAAGATTAGTTTCAATTCAATCAATCTTGAACCACATAAGCTAACAACATCGGCAGCGTCTGGCATCAATATGCAATTGGGCTCCCAGCGACTGTATTCATATTCAAATTGGTCACTGCATTCATCTGATAACGCCATATGATATCCTGTTGCTTTCGAAGCTGGGATATAGAGGACTTGATCCAAACAAAGTCGACGCAAGTTGGATAAATTCGAAATACTTAAACAGTTGATCCACATTCTAATAAGATAATGATTAAAGATTGGTGTTCTTAAATATAAAGACCGGTACACGAAGCGTGGAACAGCTGCTGCCCAAGATTTGGCAACTAATCGAAGTTTAAGTAATTGAACTACAGAAGGGTGAGTTAAGAATGGCTGTTCTGCACTATTTAGGGGTTCCGTAGGTCTCGACGGAGAGATGAGACACACAAAACTGATAATTTTTTCTACTATCTCTACTGGCAGTGCATTGGAAGAAGTCATGATTCGTGGTAGTAGTTGTTTAGAAACAGGTGACTTATTTCGATCAAATCAAAACTCAAGACAAATTCTTTAGCAAAGAACACTACCACCTATTATACTGAGGAATTGAATCCATTGGGGTACCAGGTATTCACATTTTCACATTTCAATTAACATATTATTGTCCCTGCAAAAGTATTTTCGGGATCATGCTATATAAGTACCATGAAATACTCCGTGCTCGTTGAAAAAATATTTTAATACTGGAGTATTTATTATTAGTTACACCACGGGGGCACCCTGACCGCCTAGGCACGGTCAAAATGGGCCGTCCTTAGGCGGCCCTGGCCCGCGGAGCCAAAGGCTGTCACTAGCTGGCCAGACCTATGACGCAATCAAAACGACACCCTGGCGTCGTAGCAGCCTCCAGGGTGTCGGAATTTCAGCGTTCTCTACACGGCCTCAGCTGGCATTACGACGGCCTAGATGGTGTAGAACTGGCCAGAAGACCGTAACACGCATATTCGATTTGGGTCAAATGGCGATAAAATTAAAACCAAATCAAGAAATGGGCACGGGAAAGGGCGCAAAAGCGTATGAATTTCGCAACCATGGACGCAGTACAGACAGTAAAGAAATGATATATGGAATGAGGTGTGGAGTGGAGTTGATACCGAAGAAATTCTCTCTCTACAACTTTGATCTACAAATAATTTTCGAAATAGGCAGGAAGGTTGAAATCCCCAAATCTGCCAAATGAGAGTTGTAGTTGTCATTCATCCTTGCATACCCGTGGCCCCTTCTTGCAACAAACGTTCCATTTCCTCATGTATCTCCTCCTCCAAAGGCAGGTCGAAAGTCGCATTTACGTCAATATTTGCAAAGTATCCTTTGCTATCAAAGGTGGCACAATCTTGATCATATATTAAGTTGTAAAACCTGCATGCAAACACTGGTCAGTGAGTGTGTATCCAAAGGACAAAAAGAGACTTACGCCGAAGCATACAAGGGCTCTTCATCACTCAAAAGGTGGAGCTGTTTGTCCACCCGGGCCCAGATATTGCCGCCGCCGCCGCCAGCCCGACGGGATTGAAAGATCCGTATGGCCTCGCGTCGCTGGTCAAAACGCACAGTCAGGACATCTGCTTTCAGTTTCACATTCGTCAATCCAGTGCTTTGAATGGCAAATCACCAGGTATGTAATACGAAGGCGTAGAGCTTCAGGCGCTCTGAGCCAATACGCCTCCTCATCCAGCCCGTCGGCGCTGTTTCCACACTGCCTGGCGATCTATATGCAGAGCGCAAATGTAAAAGCAGTAATCAGGGTTCCGAACAAGGGTTCCGAACACATCTGGAAGTTGTTCCCGTCAACAAGGTCACTTACACGATGCAAGAGCTTTTTAATGGAAGGAACCGTAGCTTCGGGGTTGTTTTTAATGTTGTGCAACACCTTAGTACCACATTAATTCGGTAGCAAACCGATGAGCAATGTCAACAATCAATCCAGCTTTACATTCAATAGTGAGCATGACTGACCAAATTGTGTAAACGCTCGCGAGCGTGTTTACCAGCGTCTTTAAGCAACGTTGTGTACGTTTGGATGGCCGCAACACTTTGCGCCCCATTGACAACTGGGGGAAGTTGTTCGGTTGACCACGTACCTGGTATGTTTTTGATCTTTTGCTGTAGTGCCAACATGAACACAGCCGAGTGAGGTTGGAGAGAGAACAATCGGATAAATCTCAAACTCGATTCACATACCTTGATTGTATTGAACAGAGAGTGAACGATTAAGTTTCCATTTGGGTCTTCCAGTTTTGTATAAGACGCAATATTGGGCTCAGCGACAGATTCGTATGCAAAGTTATATACACGTTCCTAGCCAAGTGATCGACAGGGTAGAAACATTTGAAAATCAACGGTGTGGAGAACAGATCACGAGTGCGACTTTGGAGTGTGATCAACTCACTTTCAGCTCAGCACTGTAGGTCCAGGGAGGCGTGGGGCCCGAAGGGCCTGTGGAGGGTGTACCAGCCGCCGGCGCGTGATTACCAGCGTGACGGTCAGTTAGCCCGCCCACGGTCTCATCGACTTGATCCAGTTTGTTGGAGATAGTCGTGAGATTTCTTTCAATCTGGTCCGCCATTGAATTCATATCTTCTTCCATTTGGTTCGACAAGGAGGATATGTCTTTGTCAATCTTGACAGAGATCGTGGAAATATCTTGTTTGAGGTTATCACTGAGGACCAAGATCTCCTTCTCAAGCTTTGCTCCTAAGCTTGCGATGGCAGCCATGATCTGTTCCGTCGAAAGGTCACTGCCTTCGCGGTTCTGGATGGGTCATTGTTATCATTCATTGTCAGCGTGCGTAGGACAACAAGCACCAACGATAATGAAACCTTACAACATCAATAGTGGACGCCCTCGTCGAGCCTTGGCCGCGCACGGATCTCTGCTCGGCGCGGCTTCCTGAGTGGGATCCAAGACCTGTGTTGGCTAAAGAGAGGTCAGAGTGACAGTGGTTGATCGGAAAACCAGAGATATCTGAGAGAAACAAGGTGAAACTGACTCATCCCACCCCTTGGGGTAGTCAAAGAGTATGGTTGAGTGCGGTTTGTTTGAGAGGACATGGTTTGTGTTTAAATTAAATCAACGAGATTAGTTGGAACGGTGAGTTTTCAAAGTGGAAGGGAGAATTGAAAAAGGGTGGAATTGGAACAATCCGATTTCAGAGTGAGCGTGAGTGATGTGGTTCAGGCGCGCGAAGTTCACCCCCTGGCTTCCCGATCTCTGATTGGTCGCCGCAGGGTCTCAGCGATTTCCTGGGTTCTCAGGGAACACGCGCTGACCACGATGCCTGTGGCCTGCGAACCAAGTCGCGAAGTGGCCATTTGGAAGGTATCGCACCTTCCTCAAGTGAAAGTTGCTCAAGATGATGGACAAATGGTTGCACACAATACTCTCCAAAAGCACAGGGGGATATTGCATTCTTTGCAAAAGACTGATTTCAGTCGAGTGAGAGTGGAGAGATCAGAAAAACAATTGGGCCTTGACCAACACCACCCTCAGAGAGCTCTCAGTCACACTCGGACTCTGATTCCTCCATATCTTGATCAGCGTTGTCGGCTTTGCCTTTGCCCTTGGTGTGTCCGCCCTTTTTTGTTCGAGTTTTGGCTGGAACAGATCGCCAAACATCCAAGCCTTTTTGGAATGTGGTCAACCATTCTCCAGGTGAAATGAGACGTGCGCCAACATTCGCGACCTCTCGATGGGTCTCGGCTGAGTAGTGGCTCGCCGTGTTCAGAATGAAGTACTTTGTTGGCTTATGTACTATAATGCTGTTTTTGGCGGTTGTTTCCCTTCTTTCCAGGCGCTTTGTCCCATTATCTGCGACTGAGCATTGAGAACGGTGGCAATTATGTTGCACGTTCAAAATGCACTCGACATCCTGGATTGCCCAATCAGCACCAGACATAGGCGTGGGAAGGAGGTGAGTTCAGCGTGCTCACTTGGACTCTGACCCATCTTTGCCGCATTGTCACAATTATCTCGCGCATTCCGTAGTACGAATAAACAGGTCCTTGCTGAGTCTCTTGAAGCAAAATGACAGTTTTGGTGGCAGATCCTCCGTCAGGCTTCCAGATGGAGGTAACTTGAGTGACCGTTTTCGCATTGGCCAGCTGGAAAACGGTCACGGGAACACTCTAAATTGATGTGTTTGTAACAAATTAATTCCAATCAAAGGTGGTGACTCACCTTGACAAAGTCCCCTTTTTCCACCTTTTGTCTGTTTTCCAAAGTGACGCTGGAATTTTCGGCCCATGCCACGTCTGGCGCTTGACTTGAAAGGTACCTCGGGATCTCGGTGGAGTCCTTGGCACGCGCTTTAAGGCAAGAAAGGTCACAAAAGTGAGCACCAAAACCAAGGTGTGAAATACAATAAAAAACCTTACGTCCAGATATGTAAACCGCGACTTGTTTGGCCTTTGGGTCCAGACCCATTGCTTTGGGAAGCTCAGGGATCCGCCCAAGGAGCCTGAGGACTGGAGGTCCAGCGGAACAACGGGCTTGCAGTTCTTTATCAAAAAAAGTGTTACCTGAAAGAAGGCCTCTCATCAATTGATAATTGCAGAACGTGTTAGCGATGTCACGACCTGGGCACATGCGGTTTGAGTGTACTGAAGCGTTGCGCAAAGGTCCATTGTAAGACTCGAATTTTTGTGTCATGAACAAGGTTGCTGGTCCGAAACTTTGAATGGAATCCTTCAAGTGGCCCAGCATGTGGAATTTCGGTTTATTCACCCACTGAGCAGAGTCCTTCAGCAGCTGGTTGTAAAAGATCAACAACGCGACTCCCATGTCGCGCAAATAGTCGTCCAT